ATATATAACCAAGTGTACTTGGTGTACCCATCTAGAAATGCTATATAGTATTTAAAGGCAGTATTATAGAAAGAGGGTGAAGGACCTCACAAGTCTGTGTAAATCACATCAAAGGGTCTATGATAAACAACATTAGTTAAAGGAGCATGAATTCTATGGGCTTTACCAACATTGCAAGGAGTACAGAAATAGGAATCATGTTTATTAGAAGTATGGACATTACAAGATTTCAAAATATGAGATACAATTTTAAAATTGGTATGTTCCAGTCTATGGTGCCAAAGTATACTAGGATTACATTTAGTAGTACTATGAGACTCAGAGCTAGAGGCTACATAACTATGAATACCAGAAGAAAAAAGGGCATAGTTTTATTCAAGCTGGGTGGACTGATGAGATCCAAAGAGTGTTGAGAAAAGCAGTACAAGCCATTGCCATCAATTGTGCCTTCAACCAAGACTTGCTTAGAAGCCTGAGATTTAATGTAACATTTATCAGGTAGGAATTCAAAGATAAAATTATTATCACTAGAGAACTTAGACACAAATAAAAAATTTCTGGTGATAGAAGGAACTAGAAGGACATCAGATAAACTAAGTTTGAAATTAGGCATTATCTTAGAGTAGAAATGTATAGATCCTACAGCTTGAATGGTAAGAGTTTGGCCATTGCCTACCTAAACTCTATTAGATCATGAATAAGGTTTTTGATTTTGTAAAAGAGAAGCATATGGAGTGAGGTGATGAGTAGCACCCGATTCTGTAAACCATGGTTGTGACTCCATTTCAGCAGGTAAAGAATACTCTTGAGTGTAGGCACCAGGGTGCTTTGTTGTAGCCATCATAGCCATAGCTAGATTGTTCGGAGTTTGATCCTGATGGGCATTCTCATTGATAGTGTTATTATTTGTTGAGTTCTGAGTATTGGAGGCCTCTGGTGGCGCAAAGTTCTCATCAAATTGATGCCAACAAGTGGCCATAGCATGCCCATATTTGCCACAGAGTTGTCATGTAGGGAGATTTCCAGTTAATTGTTTGTCTCTACCACGACCACGAGCATGAGTAAACTTATTGCTTCTTCCTCGATTTACTGAGTAAGCTCCTCTAGAGCCACAACCTTCTTGATTTGCATGAGCAATGTTAGCACCAATGGTAGTTGCGGCCAATTCTTGGCGAAACTTGTCCAACTGAGCTTCCTGAACATACAGTAATGCTTCAACATCATAGAGATTGAGAGGAATAGGAATATCATACATCTACATAACGAACGGATTGAACTCCTCTGGAAGTCCTTCAAAAATAGAATTGATCTGATCTTGTTCTGTTATCGAATCCCTAACTACGAGCAATGAATTAGCAATAGCTTTGATACGGAGAACATACTCAGTGATCGATATATTGCCCTTCTTGGTGGATTTGAGCTCAACACATAGCTGGCAAACTCTCGCTTTCATCTGAGCATTGAAATACTGATGAATCTTGTCCTAAACCTCAAAAGTGTGTTTACATGCAAGAACCCTAGGTAGTACTGATTCAGAAATTGTAGATAGTAGCCAAATGAAAACAGCTTGATCTTTCACAATCCAAGCCTCATACTCATCAGAAATCATACCTTCAAGGTGATCTTGCGCAGTTTTGAATTTCAGCACAATCTGCGGATTAACCATAAGTTTATGCATCTTATGTGTGAGAATCACACCTTCAGTTGTTTTCTTGATGTTTAATCGGGAGCTTGGGACCAAATCCATTATTGGATTTGGACGATGAGAAGGCGGTAGTGACATCTTGTGTGTGTGGGATACCTTTGATACTGGATTCTTGATTATCACCATACTCCATTAATGAGCAATTTGAGCTTCAGAAGGATGAACTGGTGCGACTCAGAGGAAGACGAAGAGCGATTATGAGGGAAGCGTGGAAGATCGCACCGCGAATGATACCATATTAGAATTGAGTTCTTATCCTCGTATCACACAGTAATCAAGATGAATGGAAAAAAAGATAGAAGAAGAAAAGATAGAAGATGTATATTACTGTATCAAAAGATAGAAAAGTATCATATGTGTTAACAGTACAATATTACTTTATATATAAGGGTCAATCAGAGATAGACACAATGGCACATTTATATTAAACAGCCTAGACAATATCTCTAATAAACAATAACTATAAAAGGACATTATAGTGAAATGTCTCTTTTAGACGTTTTCATTAGTAGGAAGATCATTATGAAAAACTTTTAAAATTAACAAGGTTTTGACAAGAGGAATCAGATTTGACCAAATTTCCTTCATCGTACAATAAGTTGATTGTGAATTACATTGGCTGTATAAACATCTTTAAAAGAGAGATCTTCGGGAGATAGAGTGATTCTTTAATTCTATATATAATAGTGGTTTGAGCCGTGATTGACCAATCAAAAAAAAGTTCTCAAACCATTATGAATGAAATTAAAAACATTGGGTATTAAGTTAGCTCGAAAATAATTAGGAAAAATCAAATCATCAACAATCAAATTATCCTTCCAAATTTGTTTTATATAGAGAGAGAGGGGGAGGTCTATTATCTCCAATTTTCCAAAAGCTACCGCTTTAAATTATATTGAGATCTTTTTAGTCCAAATCACAAAGAGGAAGAAATATAGCCATTATGAAATTTATTTTCTTTAAGAAATCTAATTTTTAAGAGTAGAAGCTCATTGTTGATCAGATAAGAAAAAGTCCCAACATAATTTCAAACAACCTACTTAATTTATCTTGGATATTTGAATTACTCCAAACCCACATTCTTTCTACATGAGCACAAAGTTTATTCTAAGATATGCTGACAAATAAAGTTTATTTCCTAGTTTTAATACAACGTGACCAAATAAAGTTTCTTATCCACATATTGTGAAATCAAGTATGCTGGAAATAGTATGAAGTCTGAAGGAATGGATAGTTCTAGCATACAACTTGCATTTACTTGAAGCGGTAATTCTTCTACAATTCAAATTAACAAGTAGGTTTAGGATCATCTTGTTTAACACCACTGGAGCAATTAAATAATTCCACTTATTTAAATATTAAATAATTCCACGAGAGATCTTATTGAGAAAGTGATTTCCACTATTTTTATGCACTCCTAAAATAATATTGAAGTCTGCTATGAAACATCATGGACCAAAATATCTCTCTCACCAATATGAGTAATATTCGCATAAATGACCGACATATAACAAGTCTTGAAATGTGTTGGTCAGAGATACTCAAAACTGAAGGGTTCAAATTTTCAACACTAAACCCTAAAGATTTTTTAAAAACAAGAAAAAAATACACATAAGAAGAAAATAAAAATTAAAGGATTAAAAAACATCAAATTTAATTTCAAAGACTTTAAAGAGAGAAAATGATAGAGATTAGATAAAACTTGTTACCAGCGCAATGGATTTAATAGTATTTGAATTTTTATTAGTAGGAACATTTTCATTTGTAGTGTTGGTTAGATTCTTTTTGTTGTTTTTTTTTATTGTTGACTTTTTTTTATTTTGTTGTTTTCTGTCATTTCTTATACTGTGTGACTTTATTTGTTGTATTTTAGTGCGATTTTACTTTTTTTTCTAATTTTAATGATATTTTTCATTTAAAAAAGATAAAAATTATACTAAAAGACAGAAGAAGTATTATTGTAATTTAATATTCGTTGAAAGAGTAAAATAAAAAAATATTTTATTAAACTAAGATAAAAGTTTAATTGTAATGTATAATAGATATAAAAAGCAATACATCATCGTCATTGATGAGTAAGACTTTGAGGATAGTAATATAAAGGAATAATACATAGTTTAGTCTTTTTACTTAATTTAATATTATGTTTTAGTTTTTTAATTAAAAAATGTTATAAGTTAGTTCTTTAATTTCATTTATATTATTTTATTTTATTTTTTCTGTTAATTTTTGGAGAAAAAAATACTAAATTTTGATGTCGTAGATGTACAAGAAAATTCAAGGTTTAAATGTGAATAAATATTTGTATTATAAAGTATTAAATATTTGTATTATAAAATATATTTTCCATCTAACATAATTTTATTGTGATCATCTTTATGACACTTACTTAAGTGAAAATTCTATTTTATAATATAAATATTGAGTTATATTTGAACTTTGAGTCTCATTGTACATCCATGTCATAAGAATATAACAATTTTTTTGTCTGAAATTGACAAAAAGGACCAAATAAGATAACCAAAACGAAAATAAAGACTAACTTATAAAAATTTTTTAATTAAGAGACTAAAACAGAAAATTAAATTAAATAAACAAACTTGAAGACTAAATATACATAATATAAAAGTCAAATATATTTAAGTATCTAACCATCGTAATTGACTAACATTATCAATTAAATTCCTAAGATAAATACCATTCCAAAAAATTTGTAATTAAGTGTAGTGAATATTATTGATTAGCCGTCCACGTATTAGCATTTTTTATTACAATAAATTATTTTTGATGGTCTAGTCTCGATAAACCAGTTTAGTTGATAAATATGCATGAATATTAGATATTGGGACGTGGGTATAAATCTATGACATTTCACTTTCACTTTTAAAAGGTGGGATTCTCAACTACTAAACTACTCGACAAAAAAAACACATGATCTTTATTCTAAATAAATCGTCCAGTTTAAAATAGAGAAACCACGATTAAAAACTAAGTGTAAATACATACATTAATAATTGCAGCTAATCCTGGTCCCTTGTCCTACTACACCTGTTTGAGTTTTACATTTGTATAATATCTATGAACATGTGACATGTTTAGTGTACTAAGCTGAAAAACAAACAAATTCGCGCAATAACTGATCATTACAACCTATGTTTGTGGTCTGCATGTGCTTAATGCTTCTTTGTATGCCCATAAATAATAGATCACTACCACCTAATTCAAAAGATGAAATACAATTTAAATAAATTAGCAGCATATTTGACCATCAAATCCGAATGATGATGACATGCAGATTACCAAAAGCACGAGTCCACAAAAGCAATGATAATTAGAGATACAAAATCTGAACCCAACTTGATTCTGGTTGCATTTAGAGGTACAGTTCCATTTGATGCTGAGCAATGGAGAACAGACATAGATATCTCATGGTTTGACATACCCAACGTGGGCAAGATACATGGTGGGTTCATGAAAGCATTGGGCCTTATAAAGAACCGTGGATGGCCCAAAGAAATAGATGAAAGAGACGCACATCGTTATGCTTACTACACGATTAGAGAGGAGCTTAGAGCAATATTGAGAGAAAATGAAGATGCAAAATTCATATTGACAGGGCATAGTTTGGGAGGAGCATTGGCTATTTTGTTTATTGCTGTGCTTATAATCCATGAGGAAGAATGGTTGTTAGAAAAGTTAGAAGGTGTTTATACATTTGGGCAACCAAGAGTAGGAGACCAGAAGTTTGGGGAGTTTATGAAAAGCAAGATGAAAATATATGATGTCAAGTGTTTTAGATATGTTTACTGTAATGATTTGGTTCCTAGGGTCCCTTATGATGATCAATCCCTCTTCTTTAAGCACTTCAGTCCTTGCCTCTATTACAATAGCTTGTACCAAGGGAAGGTATGAAATGTGAATATTGTTTATGTTTTTTTGAGTTACATTTATAGTGTGATTGAGTGATTTCTTTTATAATCATTAATAATTAATTTTCACCAAAATCCGGTTCAAAAAATTAATTCATCTAGACCGAACCGAACCGAACCGAACCGAACCGAACCGAGCCGAGCCGGCCGGTCGGACGGACGGACGGCGGCGGCGGCGCGCGCGCGTGTGTGTCTAGATGACTTAGTGGTGTGTCCTCACTCCTTAACAAAATTGGGGTGCCCCTTGGGGCCCAACCCAAGTGTCCAAGTTGGAGTATTTATGCACTACTAGAAGTTGTGTTCCCTCCAATGTGGGACTTAAATGAATCCTTTCAAATTCACTCACAAACTAGTTCATTCATGTGCTCATTAATTGCCCATTTAATGTCAATGAATCATTCCAATTCCCAATCCAAGTTGTCATCATTCCAAGATTTCCAACAATCCCCCACTTGAATTTAAAAGGTGATTTTAGAGGTAACGTCAGACGTTTCTAAGATTGTGCATAAGCAAAGGTGTCTATGACTTGAACCTTTGCGTAGCAAGTAGGATTCTGATTCAACAAGAGTGACACAATTGTCTTGAACTCTATCTCAGACATCAGACCCGCACACAACCTTTTCTTTAAGGTGTATTCTAATAGCCCGTGCTTTAATGGCCCTGCACGTGTATCCCGGTTTAGTGAAGGCTCTAGGAATTTTGCCTCGCAATTCCATAGGAACCGACCCAAGTTCCACAATCACCAAGGTGAGTCTATCAAGAGTACTCCTGTAGTCTAGGTACTCCCTCATACAGAGTATAGATCTCATTAAGAGTTTCTATTATCTCAACCTCTTATTACTTCAGGAATCATGCTTCTCTTGCATGATCATCTCATATCACTCACAACTTGTTATTACCCATTGAACCTATTTCTTGGGATCTCCAGTCATTTAGGTCGGGTTACCATTGTGAGCAACTCATATTCATATAGGCATTAGTCCCATCTTATATGATGTGTTATAGACTTTCTCTCTAGCTAATCCTTTCGTCAAAGGATCTGCTAAGTTTTCATCAGTGCGTACATGATCCACTCTTACAGCTCCTTTAGAGATACAGTCTCTAATGGTGCTGTGCTTTCTTCTTATTTGACGTCTTTTACCATTATAATAACGGTTCTCAATTTTTGCAATAGCCGCGGTACTATCGCAGTGGATCAACACAGCTGGCATAGGTTTTTCCCATACGGGAATCTCAGCTAGCAAGCATCTTAACCAAGTTGCTTCTTCACTAGCTGTGGCTAGTGCTATCATTTCAGACTCCATTGTGGACTGAGCCAGAATGGTCTGTTTCTTTGATTTCCAAGATACAGCTCCTCCGGCTATACTAAATATATAGCCACTAGTAGCTTTGGAATCATCCGACAAAGTATTCCAATCAGCATCACTGTATCCTTCAAGTACAGCAGGAAATCTCTGATAATGTAAACCGAGGTTCACAGTCTTTTTGAGATATCTCATGACTCGCTCAATAGCTTGCCAATGTTCATTACTTGGTCTACTAGTAAACCTGCACAACAATCCCACGACATATGCAATGTCAGGTCTAGTACAGTCAGTAGCATATCTAAGACTTCCAATGATACTTGCATATTCTGTCTGTTTAACACTTTCACCAGTGTTCTTAAACAGTTTCATGCTTGGATCGTATGGAGTGCTAGCAGGTTCACAATCAAAGTAATTATATTTCTTTAAGATCTTTTCCACATAGTGTGATTGATCCAAAGAAATTCCTTGTTTGGATCTAGTGATCTTGATACCGAGGATTAAATTTGCTTCTCCCAGGTCTTTCATATCAAAGTTGTTGCACAACAAAGATTTCACATCATTAATAGTCTGAATGTTTGATCCAAATATAAGTAGATCATCTACATAAAGACATATGATAGTGCAAATGCGATTCTCAGATTTGTAATAAACGCATTTGTCACTTTCATTCACTTTATATCCATTTGATATCATTAAGTTATCAAATTTTTCATGCCATTGCTTAGGGGCTTGTTTTAGTCCATATAGAGACTTGTCTAACTTACAAACCTTGTTTTCTTGTCCATGGATCACAAACCCTTCTGGTTGTTCCATATAGATTTCTTCCTCTAAGTCACCATTTAAAAAAGCTGTTTTAACATCCATTTGGTGTACTATTAAGTTATAAATAGCAGCAATTGAAATAAGTACCCTAATGGATGTGATTCTAGTGACTGGAGAGAAAGTGTCGAAGAAATCTATATTTTCTCTTTGTCTAAAACCCTTGGCTACAAGGCGAGCCTTGTATTTATCAATAGTTCCATCAGGTTTTAGTTTCTTTTTCAGAACCCATTTACAACCGATCGGTTTGCAACCAGGAGGCAAGTCTACTAAGTGCCATGTCTTGTTAGAATCTAGGGATTCTATCTCATCATTTATAGCTTCTTGCCATAAATCTGCATCTAGAGATGACAATGCTGCTTGAAGATTTATTGGATCTTCTTCTATATTATAAGCCGCATAATCAGGCCCATAGTCTTTAGCGACTCTTACTCTTTTACTTCTCCGAAGTTTTGTTTCTACTTCGTTGTTGTTTTCTGTACTTCTTATCACAGGAATGTGACTCGATTGGGTGCCCCCACTATTTCTCAGTTTGAAAGGAAATTTGTCTTCATAGAATTCAACATCATTTGATTCTATGATTACTTTTGCATTTAGGTCGTAGAACCTATATGCCTTACTGTTTGCTGCATATCCAATGAATACACATTCATATGCTCTACTAGCGAGTTTAACTCGTTTCGGATCCGGAATTCTGACATAAGCCAGGCAGCCCCAAGTTCTCAAATAAGACAAGTTTGGTTGTCTTTTCTTTAATATCTCATATGGTGAGATCTTACTTTTTGACTTGGGGATTCTATTCAGGACGTAGCAAACAGTCAATAAAATTTCCCCCCACCAGTGAGGAGCAGCACCAGAATTTATCATAATTGCAACAACAAGTTCGGTAAGAGTCCTATTCTTTCTTTCTGCTTTACCATTCATTTCAGGAGAATATGGAGCAGTCGTTTCATGTACAATTCCATGTTCTTTATAAAAGTTATTAAATAAACCAGAATCATATTCAGTCCCCCTATCACTACGAAGTCTCTTAATCTTCTTACTAAGTTGATTCTCAATTTCAGTTACATATGTCTTAAACATTTCAAGCGCTTCACTTTTATTCTTCATTAAGTATACATAAGTATAATCTGAATTATCATCAATAAAAGTGATAAAATAACGTTTATTGTTTCTAGTTAAACTTCCATCTAATTCGCATATATCAGAATGTATAAGATCTAGGGGATCAGATTCCTTATTAATTGATTTATGCGAAGTCTTGATTATTTTTGCTTGACTACAGTATTCACATTTATTTGTATCATTAATACTTAATTTAGGGATTAGGCCCAAGTTGCTCGCATTATGCATAATTCGCTTATTAACGTGACAAAGTCTAGTATGCCAAATATTAAAATCACACAAAGAGTAAACAGAAGGAGAAATCTTATTAAAATCAACATTCAACTTAAACATGCCATCAGTGGCGTACCCTTTCCCAACAAAAATACCATTCTTAGTGATGGTGTACAAATCTGCCCCTAAAGTTTGACTAAACCCTGCCTTATTTAAAAGAAAACCAGAAACAAGATTCTTCCTAATTTCAGGAACGTGCATGACGTCCTTCAAGATCAAAGTCTTTCCTGAGGTGAATTTCAGCTCAACATCTCCAATTCCAGCAACCTTAGTGGTGTGAGCATCTCCCAACAACACTTTCTTATCTTCAGCATTCATGTATGTTTTGAACATAGCACGATCGTAGCAGACATGACGAGAGGCGCCAGTGTCTATCCACCAACCATCACTTCCACCAACCATGTTGACTTCAGTGATCATAGCAATGAATTGCTCATCAGTCAGGTTAACCTGAGCATTTGAGCCAACAACAGGTTTAGGCCTGCTCTTACACCTTTTTGCCATGTGACCCGGTTTCCCACAATTGTAGCAAGTGAAAACCGGAGCATCATTTCTCTGTGGTGGTGGTTGCTGCCTAGCAATTGGAGCATTTGGGGCCCTAGAGGGATTCCCATTCTTAATTCGGTTCATAGCATTGCGGTTCTGATTCTTTAATGGTTTGCCCGTAGGCTTCAGAACCGCACCGAATTTCTTTTTGTTGTTCGAAACAACTAAGACTTCATCTTTCTGATCTTGTCTTCGAGCTTCCTCTTCAATTCGGAGGCGAGTAATCAAACTTTCGATGGAAAACTCTTTGGTTTTATGGCGAAGCATATTTTTGAAATCTTTCCAAGCAGGGGGCAGTTTGTCAATAATAACAGCAATTTGAAATTGTTCATTCAGAGGCATACCTTCAGTTATGATTTCATGAGCAATTTTCTGAATTTCGTGGCTTTGAGTTTCCACAGACTTTTCATCCACCATCTTGTAATTCAAGTAGCGGCTGACAGCATATTTCTTTGCACCTGCTTCTTCGGTATCATATTTCTTCTGCAAGGCTTCCCACACTTCTTTGGCAGTGTTGTAATTACTGTAGTAATCGTACAGGTCATCAGCAAGACCGTTCAGGATGTGATTTTTGCATAGGTAGTCATTCTCTTGCCATATGGCAATTTCTTTTCGAAGCTGTAAATCATCTGCTGCGGCTTTGGCTTTCGCAGCAGCTTGTGCTTCAGCAGAGCTGGGAGCTATGTCAGAAGTTACAATGGTTGCAGCATCAGTTTGTTCGGTTGATCCAGAAGGAACAACAGGGATATCCTCAGTCAGAACGTGGGCAACCTTCTTGATAGTCAAGAAAAATCTCATCTTAGCTTGCCAACGTTTGAAATGAGAACCCTCAAACTTAAACGGTTTGTCAGTGACAGAAGCGACCGCATTATTACCGATAATTTCCTCAGTAGCCATGGCAGTTAAGGCAAACGTCTTAAAATTGTTGTTCACGGATTAGTTAAAAAAAAAGAGTAGCCACAGAGAAATTTATCGGGTCGAGTCGCGGATCGGTACGCTTTCTTTAAGACGTTTCGCCGGATGCCAACAAAGTGCAAGGCAGTCGATAATAGGCGACGTCTCCAGGATAAAACAGCCCGTTCGAATAAAATACGATTATCACTTGCACTGTGATAAATCGTTCTATGAATAACACCTTCTGATGGTGTAGAAACCACTCGTAGTATCTGCCAAAGAGCAGTCGAAAAAACAGAGTAAGAAAAATAGAGATGAAGCAGAACAGAGAGATAGAAGAGTGAAAACGAGATTGTGAATTCTGGAGTTATTTGCAAATGAAATAAATCACTAATTCAACAAAACAGTTCGAAAAAATAGGAAGAACGTGGGAGAGGGTTGAATTGGCCCAGTCAAAAGTAACTGTTATTGCTTGGTCAGACAGTCATGCGTTTTGACTCTTGGAAGGCAAGTAATTGACACGTCACTAATTCCGTAATTAATTAATATTAAATATTAATTAATTTCCACTATTTTTAATTAGTTAATGCTAATTAATTCCACCGAATTAATTAATTATTAATAATCATTAATAATTAATTTTCACCAAAATCCGGTTCAAAAAATTAATTCATCTAGACCGGACCGGACCGAACCGAACCGAGCCGAGCCGGCGCGCGCGCGTGTGTGTCTAGATGACTTAGTGGTGTGTCCTCACTCCTTAACAAAATTGGGGTGCCCCTTGGGGCCCAACCCAAGTGTCCAAGTTGGAGTATTTATGCACTACTAGAAGTTGTGTTCCCTCCAATGTGGGACTTAAATGAATCCTTTCAAATTCACTCACAAACTAGTTCATTCATGTGCTCATTAATTGCCCATTTAATGTCAATGAATCATTCCAATTCCCAATCCAAGTTGTCATCATTCCAAGATTTCCAACAGTATTGAAATACAGATTCTAGAGGAGGAACCAAATAAGAATTATTACTCTCTGTTATGGGTGATACCCAAGATGTTGAATGCAGGTTGGGAGGTGATTAGAGGTTTCCTACTACCTTTTGTTGTAGGTAAAGACTATAAACAGAATTGGTTCATGGTGATGTTCAGGCTTGTTGGATTGGCATTCCCAGGAGTACCAGCTCATTTCCCTACTGATTATGTCACTGCTATCCGTTTGGGATCGTTCAACGAACATCTAGAGCTTCAAGATTTCAAAGATGACTAATGCCGGTGCTTTCATAACTAGCAACTGAAACCATGCATTTCGCTTTTACTTTTTCCATGGGAAATAATATTTCAACATTAAAAATTGGTACACCATATGGTGTCCCATTGGCTTTTTAGGTGTACTACAAATAACATGACTCTTTTCATTCTGACATTAGAATATATTTGATCAAATCATGTTAATGCTATCATGACATGCACACAAGGCGCTTATAGATATCATGACACGAACACATGCAAGTATAATAGCATCTCATGCAAAGATTTGTACCATTGAAGTAAAATTAGTATGCAATAGGGAACAAGAAATAGATATAAATCAAATTAAGAACGAAGAACAAATTGAAACGTTTGTGATTTTGAGAAGGAAAGACTGTAATTAATTCATTGTTCTTTCTACTATAGATAATATTCATGTTAATAGATTACAATTGAACAGGAAACTGTCAAGTAACCAGACATGGAAAAAAAAATACAAAAAGAGGCTTATTTCTAAAGTTTGGCCTAAGTACATACATATATTATTTATCTTCGAATTCGAACTCTGAAGGGCAAAACTACAAGGCATTTAGATTCTACCTGCTACAGTGCTTGTATCTCATGCGTTGCAAAACCACAGTAACGCCAATTTAATGTCAACATAAGAAGCCGCTCTCTATCCATCTTTTGTTGTTGCCCGTCCAGATTTAAATCCTTCTGATTTCTGAGACCTGGTCAGGCATGTAACAGTCTTGAATCCAAATGTATAAAAATGGACAAGGGTGTAAATTGTGCAAATCTACAAGGTAGGTAGGTAAGGAAATAGTAATTTAGTAAACTTGAGCCTATATAACTCATAGATAAGCTTGGAATGTAAAAGGAAACTGGAGCACCAAATGGAATCTTGAGCCTATATAACTTGCATAGCAAACCTTTATGCAAATCATAAAACTGAGGTGTAATTGATAAAAACAACTTCTCAAATTCAAAATTATATAGACAACTGATATTTAAGTGTGTTGTTTTGAAGATCTTCGAAACCACAAATATAGTAGCAAATAATTTGTCTCTGAACTAGAACAAGGATTACAGAAAAATTACCCAGCTTCACTCGAACAGAATAGTGCTGGAGAAGCTTAAAAGGCGTGACAGGTGAAACAACCACTCAAAGAACCCATCTGGCTGGCTCTCCGAAATGACATAACCTTGTGAGAAGTTCTGGCAACTTGATGTGTCTGGTTGTCTAGAACTGAACCCCTCATTTCTTGAGCCTTTTTCTGAGCGGATCTCAGTTTGTTCATAATCTTGTCCATGGAAGATGCTCGCTTCTTTTCTAACTTCATCTGAAATAGCAAAAAATGGTGAGATCATAATCTTTCTTATGTAACTATTCTCCTTTATTCTGAGTAATACTGTTTAGGGAGAAAGGAATTCGTAATGCACGTGGCTGTGAAATGATTTAACAAAAATGTAATACATACATCATGTTAGATTTGTTTATGACGAAGTAAAAACTATTAAGACATTTGCAATCCTATTAGACAGCCCAAAATTAAACTTAGGGAAAAAGGGAAATAATTCAGCACCCAAAAATGAAGAAAACAAGGGAGAATTCCAAAGTGAAAATAATATATTCATATGAAACAGCAATAATTGCTTGGATGATTAATTAGCTATCAAATTTTCGTATATAAAAATCACTTCAAGCGGTTACTTTTGTTTTAGAATTAACATTTGGGAGGAATTTCATATTGACACTCTCCTACTAAAGAAAATGCAAGGGATTAACCTCAAGTTTCCGTATTGCTGCCTCAGCTTTCGCCTTTTGCAAGTTCTCCCATGCAGTGATTTTGGCTTCCTCCCTTTTAGCCCTGGACAAGTAAAAATACTGGCATTTAAAAGCAATGTAAAGTTTGCAAAAATATTTCTTAGTAATAAAAATGATGAGTTCTCTCAGAAGGTATACAACTGTCTGATCAAATACTTCAAGATTCTATTTTCTAGTTTGAATTGGATAGGATGGATGGTCGATCTGTCTCACATTTGAAAGGTAATAGAGATTACTGACAACTGCACACTAAGCATTGCAATTAAATCATGTCATTGCCAATAACATAGAAAATTTAGTGAACTGATCACCATAAATACTACGAAATCCCATTATTGTGGTACCATCATAAACTATAATTTCAAGGTAGCTCACTGCAGTTAGTCAAGAGTAGAGTGAGAAGGGGGTGTAACTTCAAAAGGAAAACTTCACTTCTAGTTAGCAAATTCTTTTTATGACATTAATTTCAATTTAAAGTTGTTCTGAAGTGTTCTCCTTTATTTACCAGATAAACAAATTGAACAAAACAGATGCAACACAACACTAAACGTACTTTGAAATAGTCTTTGAGCTTTCAGAAATTTCCCAAGATGTAGATCGAGTGCTTGTTTCTTTCTTTTTCCAGCTGTCGACACTCTCTGAACCTCTACCAATGAATAAGGCCCTGTGTTTCTTGGACCACCTTGTCATTGTTACACGTTCATCTACCTGCACATCCCTGATATCCATTTTAGAGAGAGAGGCACTCTGCAACTCAGTGACAGGCATGGCAGGGGGTGTGGAAGCAGAGAAAGAAGTCCTCCTATTGGGAGAGGAGCATGAACTTCCCTCTGGGCTCATCTGGGTAGCCATGTCCCTCCTTGAAACAGCAGGAGATACATTGGTGCCTGCATCCTTGAAACTATCGAACTTTTCCTCTGTAAATTGGAAACAATGTGAAAAGGAAAAAAAAAGAAGGTTATATCATGTGCATAAAAGTTTTGTTTCAAAATGACACAATACTAGTATGATATGTCATCTAAGTAGTTATAATATCATTATGCACAATATTTTAAAGACACGGATTTACTGCAGTCAATAACCAACGCAGTCAGCAAATCTAAATGCTTACCATAGATCCAATAGCTCACATTCTGACTTCATTAAATCAGATTCGAAGCACAAGCTCAGAATGTGAGCTGTCCGATTTCCAACATAAGACTCTGCTTTACTGAATGCAGTAACAGTGTTGTTTTTTTATCACAGCATATTCAAATTCTAAACCATCAATGTAATCATCATTTGGGTCATCTTAAGAAACCAAGAGTTACATCCACAACACTGTGCAGCAGTAGTTAAAGAAGAATGACAAAGTATGAAGAGTTCAGAAAAGAAGGTTGATGAACTCATTTAGATGAAACATGTGATCTTACTACCCTAGTATTGATTGCACACAGACAAAGACATTTCTCAAGCTCAAGCATAGCTTAACTAACAAACTACATCAAAATCACAACTCAAAACTAGATAAGGTAAAATTCGATCAAGGGATATAATATATGAACTTATTTAACTGAAACATGTGATCTCAAGGATTACATATACACAGACAAAGACATTTCTCAAGCTCAAGCATAACTAAACTAAAGAATACATTGAAATTAAAACTCAGAACTAGATAAGGTAAAATTCGATCAAGGGATATAATATATAGTAGTATAGCATAACAACCTCGGGCAGGAACTGACGACTGGCCCTGCATCTGAGAGCAGCCATGTACACTAACTGAGCGAGCCATACAAGGATCCGTCCGTGCAGGAAGCACTCCACCATTGCCCCCAGAACTATTTGTAAACCCAACAGATGAAGCATTAACAGCAGCAGAAAAAGGTGAAGCTGACATAAAACCCCCTCCATCAAAATAATGACCTGCAGGTGAATACAACGACGCAACACCAGGTGGACCAAGAGGACCACTCTTCGACTTTGGCCTCCTCAGTGGCTGTGGAACCAAAGCCCTTCCAGCTGTATCCCCCGAAACAGGACTCAAAATCCACCTCTCAGCATCTTCCCACTTAGACGGCAACGTTCTCCCATTGCTTAAACACAATGCAGCCGGACCATTACCAACTTGCTTGCGGACCCCACTCAAAGGAACTCTCTCAGAACTCCAACCCTTCTGCATTGCAACACCACCTTGACAGTGACGATAGTTCGGAGTTCCAGGACTTGGAAAACTGCCAGTTCCAGTTCCGGTACCGGTACCAGATTTCCGAGACGCAAGCGTACTCTTCTTCATAGCTCCAATTCCCAAACGAGGTGAAGAAACAGCTCCAATAGCATTGGCATTATTCAGATCTAACGAAGCAGGTCTTCGCCGGTCTTGCTTCTTAAATAAAGCTTCACATCTCGATCTACGATCTTGACATTCTTCAATCCAAACACAAAACAACAAACTCAATCCAAAAAAAAACTAAACTAAACTAATCCTAAATTCGTAATTAAAGTAGTAATAGTAACTAAATAACCTTTAAGTGCTAGAGAGAAAGAGTTTCTCGCGGAATCAAATTCCGATAGTTGATTACCGTCTTCTTCAGTGTCAACGTCACTTTCTTCCTTTTGAACTGTGATGTGGATAGTGAAATGCACAAACACAATCACTTTTTGTTTCGTTTTTTAAATATATTTTTTTCAAAAATTAAAGTGAAAGTGCATGTGAATGTGAATGCGACTGTTAATTTAACGCACCTTTTGTTTTTTCTCCGTGAAGCTTCTTTTTCTGTACCGTATCTGCAACTGCATGATGTTGTTGTCTATTTGGACTCAGATTCGGATTCGGATCCGGATCTGGACCGCTCCAGCTTTCACTCGGAGCAAAATCACCGTTCCCAGCCAAATGCTGCAAGAAACTCGAATTTGAACTTCATTACACGAATTTCAATTGTTATTTTTAAGAACCTTAACGATTCAATGCAATGCGGTGATGATTTACCAGTGAGATTTCGGAGTTCAAGGAGTCATGGTCGTGAGCATCGGAAGCGAAGGAACAGCGATCGACGCTGGCGGAAGCTGAGGAGAAGATACTGATGTTAGATTCGAGAGTGAAGATGACGGAGTCGGGACTAGTATCCCCGGCGGCGGTGGCGGTGGTGGTGGAGTTACGTCGTGTTGAACCGGTACGCCTCCAGGATCTTCGTTGTTCGTGAAACCCTAAATCACGCATTGTGAAGGAACATCACATTTGGATTTTCATTTGCATTTGACAGAGAAAGTAAGAAAGAGTTATAATTACAGAATGCATTTTACAGAGAGAGTAAGAAAGAGTTAGAATAAATATGGCGGGTATTAGTATTTATTTGTATAAAATGAGATAATATATGGTCTTGGAGTATTTAATTAAACGCGTTTGAGTCAAATAATGTGATGTGATGATGTGAGATAAGTTAAGGTAAGGTAAGGTATGCATGTGTTTTTGGAGGACAATGAGTTGTTGCAATGGAATAGGTTGCATTTTTAGATGAATGAATGTGATGGACTGTAGCTAGTGAAAGTGAATCTTGAATAATAATTAATTTTTGTTTATAATAGTAATTAAGAATTAAAATATTTTTATTACTTATAAATATGTTTGGAGTGTGTAAGTTAAATTATTTTTTAAGTAAAGATACTCAACACCTTAATTACATTTAAAAAGACATACTAATTCATTTAAATAAATACTCAATACATATCAGCAATTATAAATATTATACTTAAATACGAGTTAGAATATAATGTTAATATTTAAATGTTCAAATATCTCGCTCTAAATTTGTAATTTTTCATAAAAGGTGGCAATTAGTATTATCCACACACAGAAAAGGTAAGTGCCACTTGCTTGAATTCAAATTTAAATTTCCTTTTTTTCCTTTTGGTACAAAAATTCAAATGCACTTTAGTGCATTATATTTCATGATAAAAAAAAGTAAAGCTTTTATTCATTTATTTTATTAAAAAGTTAGTATATTCTTTTTAGAAAGAACATGGTCAATGATAGCTGAAAATGACAAAACCTGATTGTAAAAAATAATAATGTCGGTATTTTGAATATAAGGTAGGTGGGGGAGCACAATTTTAGTGTTTCCTAAAATTTAATTTTGCAATCAATGAAAAGCAAAGAACAAGAAAAGAAAAAAAGAGGGGAAAAAGTTTAATTTTGAGTTTCTTTCTTTGAAAATAAACAACAGTGAATAATAGGCAACTATATATTTGGTTCCGACAAATATCAACTATTTGGATCCATTTTTATTATTGATTTAATGTCTTTTATCCTATTTATATAGGCTAGTGCATGTGATGTCTGATTCTGACATTTTATTTATTAAAATTTAATGCATCATATTAAATACTTCTTCTGTCTTTAATAAGTCATCCATTTAAAATAAATTAGTATTTTAAAATAAATAATACATTTCAATTTTATATACATTTTTTTCAATCTTACTTTTTAATTAGTTAAATTTTTATTATTTCTAATACATAATAAGGAATATAATAATAAAAATATTATTCTCTCTTATTTTATTATATTTTTCTTAATATATGTGAAATGGTAGACTTATTATAAGACAGAGGGAGTAGTAATAAATATTCATAGCTCCATTTGGAGTAAATATTATGGTAAAGGTGTATTTTTTTTTTGTCAAAAAGAAATTCAACTCATATGATTAATCAACAAAGATTCAACACAAAGAGGACTCGTTTGAAATAAACTATACCTGGTCTAAGAATCAGCCGTTTTTGCTAAAGAATACGTAACCGAATTTACTTGACGTTTTACAAACTTTATCTCAAAATTGAGAAAATTATACAACAAACTACGAATAGAAGAGATAATAAAACTAAATTCAGAAAAACCATTAAAATTGGTACGAATAGCCTGGATCGTTCTTTGATAATCACTCTCGAAGATAACATTCTCTAATTGCAACTCTATAACGCTTTGGATAACCTCTTTGAGAGGCAACGCTTCTGCTTCAAAAATAGAATAGGAACTAAATCCCATGCTGCTCCTGGGAGAACAAAAATTTGCATGTGGTCTCTCACACACTATCTCTTATTCGTAGTATCCCGGATAGTGTAAAAACTGACATCTACATTGCATTTCAATCTTCTTTCCACCAGCGGATTCCATCTCAACACAGGTTGGTGATTTTGTTCTCGAACACGACTTTTCTGGGCCATAAACCACTCTTACCAACTACAAGAAGCATGCAAACCAAATTTAGAATAATCATCACTCTCATTGTTCCAAATCATGTTATTACGGTTTCTCCACATAATTTCAAGCACAACTGCAACTCTTCCTGTCGTTAATTTGTCCTCCTGACTACAAAGAATCAAGGATGAAACATTATGAAAAGTAAGAATATGAGGATCAATAATATAAGACAAACCTGTTGTTTGCCAACACTGATTTGTAACATTACAACCGGAAAAAACATGACACAAATCTTCCATATGATGCTCACAAAACGGGCACATCACCGAACACAGAACATGATGTTGTTGCAACCTCACTCTAGTCGGAAGAAAATCCCTATATATCCTCCAAATCAAATATTTTACTCTCGATAGTGCCTTGATATTCTAAAGACCACATCAACCTCCAACCACCCCATTAAAACCCGAAGTCCCTTACTCCTTTCTCCACAATCTATATCCTAACCGCACACTATAACATTTATAGCAAAGGTGTAGTTAAAGCAGCATCCATTAGGATTTAATCCCCTGCAGTTATAAAACACATTGTCACCTGCAGTTAGTGTATTTTGTGGATTATATATGTCATTTACTCTCTTTATTTTTTCTCTTTCCAATCCATCTTTTACTCATCTACCCTAGATGCAGGATCTGCAGTCAATTGTGACCGCAGAGAATCCATATCCATCCATTAGGTGATCTTTGAAGGGCATAGATAAAAAAATGTTAATAAGATTTAAGTCTTAACCCAATAGTTTAATTGTATCTAGTACGGAGTACTAGTATTTCTTTTTAAAGAAATTGAAAGGGACATGGGCTAGATCTAATCATGCTATACTGGCAAATCTTCATTCACAAACTTCCTTGATCTTCATTCACAATAATATAATGGAGGATATAATATTGTGATTAAAGTTGTTGACAGTGGTGTCTCAATAAGGGGTCAATTTAACCAATATTTTAAAATTGATCGGTCCGGTCAAAATATTAAATTATTGGATTACTAATTGACATAATTGTTATAACAAATTTTTAATACACACGTTAAAATCAAATTCAAGATTTTTTTAAATTTGTATGAAAGAAAGATAAACTCTTCTGTAAGAGGCGATAACATAAAATTATTACATCATAATTTTATATTCTAAATCATCTTAAGTATAAATCTTAACATGAAACAAAAACAAAATAATGAATTTTAAATCGTTAACAAAATCAATCAAATCAAATGACAAACGGCTAAATGCAAAGCAAAAATATGATACCCAATAATGTAAGCATAAAATTGGAAAGATTCACAAGACAGAAACTGATCATCATTCACAACGAGCCAAAATGTGTGCGGGTAAAACATTATCCACAACACAACAGTTATGGATGAAGACTTAATCATAGCGATTCATTTTCCAACCAAATGTGCTGTCAGTTATAGAAAATGATGAAATAAAAATGAAATAAGCAAACTAATTTTATTGTTTGAATTGTCTAAAATATAAAAGAGTGTATCATTCAATTCCATTGAATATCCTTTTGTTTTCTAGCCTCTAGCTTTTAGTAGTATGAGATCATATCAGACTTTATTTTATTCCAATCATTAAAATATCTAGCAATAGAACAATTATTTTATTTTATATTTTATTTCATTCCAACACATTGCTTGCAATCCGTTTTGTTGTATAATTGTATTGATCCATCCATAGCTATTATGTTCCCTTGCCTGATAATAAATACTCTATTCATACAATCCACAAAAGTTAGATTGTATACAAATCTATCATCTATCAACTATCAATCATCACTAACCTATCAACAATCAGTTACTTTTCCCAAACAAAGTTATTGTCACATTCATAAAATTAAAGGGATGTTTGAATGGGGTGTTTTGGAAGGGTATTTTGAAAGGTTAACTGAGTCTATATTTTGATGTAGATTTGAGATTTTGAAGGGTCAATCATAGTTAATAAACTCTCTCACACGCTCCTCCAAAATCCTCCATCCAAACATATTGTAAGTTACGATTGCTTAAGAAAACATGTATAAAATATCAGGATCATCACAACTTCAAAATCTCTTCAGCGAATCTTTGTATTATATCCTTTTTCATTCACTTGTAGCAGTAGGAGAAGTTAATTCATTTAACTCAGCATCCTCCAACTGGTGTACGACAGAAATAAGCTGTGACTGCTTTCAATTTTCCATTTAAATGAACTTTCTCCACCTGCAACCATGAATGAAGAATTAGTTTGCTAGGGGAAAAACTACCAACCAAAATGATGTTATGCTGCCATATAGAACATATAATAAGTTCCCCATCTGTCAATATATTTCAAATAAAAGCACTAAGGTAATGTAGTGCTGAGAACCATGGCAGTGGCAGAGCCAGGACACTGGTCTAGGGGGTACAAAAGCAAATAGATTCAAGATCAAACGAATTAATGGTGTAAATAAAAAATTTCAAGGAGTTCAAAGTGTTATTTATATAGACATTTAAGTGCATTTTTTAAAGTTCAAGTGGTTCAATTGTTTCCCAACATCCTTCACACTATAGACAATAAATAATTACTACCTCCGTTCCTTTTTTATAAGAGATGAGTCGGTTTTTAAATTCATTGAATAACAAGTGTATTTGATCTGTTTATAGACTAGATACATTAGCTATTTAATGAACCAAAAAAATAAGTTGTCTCTTATAAAAAAGAACGGAGGTAGTAATATTCAAAAGACGGACATTGTCGGTCTCCCTGCCCCCTCCTTTTTATTCTAAAAAGGTAGAGGAGGGTTCTTATTGATCAAACTAAACTTCCAAAATTAAGCATATCAAAGACAAAAACTTGAAAATACCTCTAGCGACCATGGCGGAGAGGCAGATAGAGATAACTCTGCCAATTGGTTGAAATCAACATTTTTAGGAAGGAACATGACAATTCTGGAAGCAATTTCCTTAGCAGCATTGAACAAGGTATATCTATACAGAAGCAGCATTTAGTTAAAATGGGAGGGAAATTTATGTATCTAACTATATATGCAGCAAAAATTGTGTTATAGTCTCATAGACATAACTAGAAGATAAAATCAAAAGGAAAACTACTCGCTTCGGTCTTGAATATAAACAAAGAAATCATGTTTATTGGTTTAAAATATAAGTAAATTTTAACTAATCCTGTTATATATAATGATATTATTTCTAAAAATATCCTTCAATTAATTAAGATATTTTTTATTTTTCAATAACCATTTTATTCTCATAAAGCAAATTTTCCTTGGATATTAAAATTACTTTCTTGATTACTAAGAAAATTAAACATGATTAACTACTTGTACAAGACCCGAGGGACTGTAGACAAATATCTACCTACCCATCACGCGGTCTAAGCATTGTCTTCATATCGTAGGTCGAAACCTTAGCATAATCAGGTCCACCCCAAGGTGGAGATAGGAAAACGGTGTCAGCCTGCAAAACAATATAGTTTGTCATCAACTATCCCAGAAGTATAAGCTATTAGTATGATTCCGAAAATGACTTTCCTCAATATTTTGAAAACACAATTTGAAAATAGAAATTGCATTTAGGTAGGCCCCTCCTAACCTCAGGAGGCATATGTATTTTAAATTTAATTAGAAGAGCAGGGGAAGTAAGGATTTGATCTTGGAGACCTTGACTATTAGAAGAGCAGGGGAAGTAAGGATTTGATCTTGGAGACCTTGACTATTAGGTCAAAGAGGCATACATATGAAACGAAAATCAATCATACTAAAAGAAGCATAAGTTATTGTTGGACTTTCCGCCTTAATTGCTGTCCGCCCCTAGACGCCATAATTGCCGCACTTTGGCTTGCCTTATTGCAGCTCCCAACACCTTCATTGTGTTGGCATTGAAGAGGTGGATTTAGTCCCACGTTGCTTAGACATATGGCCTGTGTTGTGTTTATAAGTGAGGGCAATCCTCATCCTACAAGCCGGTTTTATAGGGATGAGTTAGGCCCAATCCAAATTCTGAGACCTATTATGAAGAATGGGGCAATAGTGGTGTTTGTTAGCATATTTATTTAACACATTTTAACTCTGGAAGTTTTAGAATTGTAGATCAGATTATAAATAGGTAGGGAGCAGGGAAGCACATGGTTATAAATAATCATTAACATCTTATTTGCATCTTCTTGCCTCCTAACTTGGCTGAAAAGATAGAGCAGAATGAACAGAATCAGTCATGACAAGAAACAAAGGAGGAAAAAGGCGTCACCTAAGCAACAGTGCATAACACAAGTATCACCTAGTTTTGGTATAAAGCTAGGTAAAGGCAAGAGATCACAATTAGACAGATAAGGATGGGACAAAAATTTGAAGTTATGTTTTTGCCTTTCTAATGTTGCCAATACTTCAAAAAAAAAATCAAAATGTATGCAGCACGCTAAAACATATCAATTATGGCATCAACTCCCTTGTACAAAACAGAAAAACATGTAAAAAGAAAACTTTAGTACCTTTAACTTTGGTGCCAAGAGGAAGAAGTCACCCACTATGAAGTCAATTTGATCATCCACCCTATAAATAGAAGCATTATGCCTAGCATAATCAATCTTCAATGGATCAATATCGATTGCAATCACATTTCTGCACCTGTAATATCAAATAATTGATTGCCGTTAATATAATTAAAAATCCTTTTTAAATAACTTTCACAGAGGAATACTCAAGTATTTGACCAATATAACAATATTATAGCTACAAAATGATTAGTCATCTTGAATATTGTTTTATGGTGAAACTACATTAAGGACCCAACATGAATCACTTGTCTACATAAAACAAGAAATTTTGTTATCATTTTATTTGGGTATAATTAAGATTTATATGAAATTAATATTGGCAATTACTAATCTAAAATAAAGTGGAATATTATACATAAGTAAACTAAAGACAAGGATGAGGCAATATACCGCAAGCATTTGGTGACTACAAGACCTATAACCAACATCATTTATGCATAAACTATTATGATTGCTCACAAAATGGTGCCATATTTAATCAGGTAAAACATGACTGAGTGATGTTGCAGCCATAAACTATCCCTTGAGAACACAAAGGCACTCAGATAGGCTGATATCATCATCTGAATCCAAAGCAAATTGGAGCACACAGAGGTATTGTGTAAAAATGTGAGCATAACAACAAATCCAAGAGCATGTTTACCATTTCTCCCTTGCTATGTTATTGAGTTATCATTCAAGTTGCTATAAGCATAGAATAATCTTAACCAACCAAATGTTAATGTTTTTGTTCTTGGAAATTTTCAAAGTTTCTGAGTTTGATGAAAACAATACAACTACTAAACATTATCCAGTACAGTAACCAAAAAACACATGAACTCATCACCTATGGGGCATGACTAAGTAATACACACTACTAACCGTTGTGCAAATTGGATAGCATTCCCACCAACGCCGGTGAAACAGTCGATTACTGTGCCGCCTGCACAACGGGATGCTTGATAATGAGCAATAACCTCTGGAGTGACAGAAAACCATCCTTCCTCGTCCATTTTTACACCATCATCAAATCTAGTGAATAAAATATACCTCTGACACCAATATTTGGCAATGATTTCAGAATAAGCTTCGGGCATTTTTTGAAGTTGGAGATCTGTAAAATAAGAAAATGTTTATTACAAGGATATTGCTGTCAACTTTGGACAATATATTGCAACTAGTCAACAAAATATATATGCGGGCATTAATATCTAGCATTACATTGGCATATTAGTTTTTATCAGTGTTGTCGCTGGGGGATGGTGGTCCATGGTGGACAGCCCAAGTCCTGCCATACCGGCCGCTTTGTGGCGCCGTTAAAGCGGATTATGGCGGAAAAACCCGCAATATCGGCCGATATTTACCATTGCGGCGAGCCCAAAAACCGCCATGTATATCCGCCATAGCGGCCATGGCGCCACTATTTGATAACACTGGCTTTTATCAATCATACAAACATCTATCCAATATTCTACCTATTTAACTACTACAACAGCTTTAGTAATAAAAAAACTACAGCAAAGTACTAATTTAAGCATCTATAAACAAGTGTTAGATGCATTTGACTCAGAAAGTACTGTCATAAACTTGGAACATATTAGCTTAAAGATTCAGTAGAATATCAACATATTGCAGAAGCCACACGTGCAATAGAAGCAGTTTCCAATAATAAAGCATTTATCTCAAACCTTCAGTTTCAGAATCGAATTTCTTCCGCCTGGGTTTTCTTTTCACTTTCTTTTTCTGTTTTGACATGAAAGGATCAGATTTACTATCCAATCCAGGTGTATCAATTACCATGTTTTCCATTGGTGTATGATCAACCTCTGATGTTGCTTGACTGCATCGATCATTAGAGCTGCAAAACATATAAGCTGTAAGGAGAGAAGATAAATCTACATAATCAGAAAAGCTAGTGCAGACATCCATTTTCATTTTCTTCTTAGAACCATAAACCATTCATTGGCCACTTACAAGCTTTTTGAGGGACGTGATTTACAACATCACATCAGAGCCTCTGGGTTTTATTCTTGCCAATGATTTTTCAAAATAATAATAATAATAATAATAATAATAATAATAAAGTGACTGGGCACATGCTACTTTGTTCAAGCTTAACAATTCACATCATATAACAACTTAGCATTGACATTTTCTAACTCTTTAATTTGTTTTTATATTTGAAAGGCTTTATTAAGCAATGTATGGTAGCTGTCTATGATAGCATGTCAACAAAAAACTGCTTTAGCTGAATACAATAATGACTATTTCATTTAAGATTGAAGTTAAACTATAAGTTTAGAAAATAAAATACCTAATGACATAATCTAGGGTATTTGATATTGAGCAGCAAGAAACTCCGTCGTTGCAACTACTTCTCTCAAGATTCTCATCCGAATGATGAAGACACTGGTCTTCATTATTGTTAGCAATGCCAGAGACCAAATTTCCAGCAGCAACTCCAATCTCAGCTGAACAGTCTTCATGTTGCATTCCTGATAAGTTCTCTTCCACCAAGGTTTCTTCAGGTGGATTAATGCTGTTTTGTGTTTCACATTCCTCTGCTGACTTTAAAGCTTCCCTATCATCTAATTCAGTACACCCGCCATATACTAGATGCTCCATCCCTGGGGGTGGGTCCCATGTAGAAATATCTGTTTTGACATTATAGAAGTATCTTTGCTTATAGAAAGTATCCCATAACACCATCCAATCTCCAAGTTCACCACAATCATTTGACCCATCAATTCGGTCACATCCATTCTCTTCCAAACTCATGGGAAGTGGTTCTGATTCATTAGCTTGTGACTGCCGTGTGGCAGCAGCATCATCATTGAAAACAGTCTCACAATCTGCAGTTTTGCAAACAATTGGGGAAATTTCTAAGCATTCATTGTCAACTTCGCCCAATTCTATCCCACAAAAATTGACACCAGCACCTGTCAAATGGCTTCCAGCAGAGACTCCTGTATCCAAGGCACATGCAATTTTCAAATCAAGGTCACTATTATGGACATCATTATTTTCTGCAACTTTTATACTATTATTTCCCTCCCTAGAAATGCCATTAGCAAACCCAGCACAGCATGATGCATTATCTCCTTCACCAGAGACACATTGGGCCATGTCAACCTCCACTGCACCATCACAGTAGGATGTTTCACTTTGGCCCAGCATTGATATACAAGATACAGAACTGTTATTTTTATCATGAAATTTAGCAGGAGATATAACCTCCTCTGTGTTCACTTCATTTAGATCTTCATCAACAGGATCGTTACAAGTACGTGGGTGCTTGGACCGTACACGCTTCTTTTTGCTTTTTACCGGTCCACATTTCTACAACAAGACAGAAACATATGGTTGATAGCAAATTTACAATCATATATGTGAGAGCAGAACATGAATGATAGAGGAGAAAAAGTGTTGATACTATTTCAGCAACCAAAAAACAGTATTCTAGTAAAACTAAAATCAAGTCTTTTTGGTGTGCTTTGAAGAACTTATATGAGCTTATTTTTCATAGCATAAACATTTGTGTAAGTATTTGGAATAGCTTATAAAAATAATCTATTACAAAACCCTATAAACTCTTTTCAACTAATTTTCATAAGCTCTCTAAAATAGTTAATAAAAACAGCGTATACAAAGTTTATCTGAATTCCATCCTTATTTCCAGCTTGATTATAAGAACAATTAATACATAGGCACTTAATTAAGTAGTTTACCCATACACCCCCTTGATAGTAATAGTTTAGATTGAAAGAATAACATGATAGATGATCCTGGTGAGCTTAGAGTATCCCAACTTGAGCCAGTATTCTTATCGAGTCAAGGCGGAACTTGAGCATTATCACTCCTTAGACATTGAATGAATATGCAAACCTAACCTTCTATTAACTAAAACATATATCAAGAAAAACAGGTCAATCTATACATCTAGGTAGTACCTTGTTTGTCTCAAAGGAGAGAGGGAGACCCAATTCATTCATTTGTTTGTTCAGTTCCAAATCTTCAGGTACTATAATAACGTTACTCCGTTCTACAAAACATAAAAGAAAAACAATATACAAACCCTTTCATTCATGAATCAGTTTCAGTAAAAAACAAATAAATAAGAATAAACTATCAATTTAGTCCCTAAACTTTTACTTCATCTTCGATTTAGTCACTAAACTATGAGAAAATTCAAAAGGTTAAAATTGATTTAGGTTGCACTTTCAATTTAGGTTAAAATTCAGTTGGATGTTAAGTGATTTGTGTTTGGATAAAGAATGAAAAAGCACTAGCCAGGAATGGGATTTGATTCGTGAATGCTATGATGATCTTCAGACGAAGGTGGAACCTGGAAGCCATCGTCCCTGTGAGAAGAAAAAAAAGGTAAAAGAGTAAGGAAAACCTAGTTGCACATTCAGAGAGAAGAAGAATGAGAAAAAGTGAGAGAACAGTGACCAGAGAAAGACTTGAGTAACACTGAAGAGAGAACCGAGGGACTGGATAGCTGCGCCGTCGTAGTCGGAGTCGGTGATCGCCATATCGGAAAGTGAAAATAGAGTATACTCGCTACCGTATCCGGCTAGCTATATGAAAACGAAGCGCACCGCTTTAGTATTTTATGAAGTGGTGCACTCTCACTGTGCGGTTCGTACTCTCATCTTCTTGGAAGTTCAAATAATTATGAATAATTATTAGACTTAATTTTACGCCAGCCCCGTTTTTCGGGTTACATTACATCACTGTTTAATTGTACATTTTTTACATAATTTATCTTTTCCCACCTCTATCATATAAGATCATTTAAGATGGGGGATTATTTAAGATGGAGGTGTTCAGAAAATTATTTAATAGTTAAATGGTTGTAATGAAGGTGTTAAATGATGGGTTGAAAATGACGTAATGAGTAGATTAATTAGTGTTAAAAATATTTAAATGTTGAATGAAGAGGGAATGTGATCACATATAATGTTCTACAAAATTTTATTGGTTTGTGATTGTTTAGATTTTTATTTTACCTTAATTATGTGAAAATCAATTATTTTATAATAAATTAATTTTTTATTTATTTTTATTTGACCAAAATTCATTATTTTTTTCTTCTATAAATAAATATTTTGTTCATTAGATTTGGACACAGAAAAAAAATTGAGATTTTTCTCTCTAATTTTTCTATTTAGCCTCTTGATCGTACCTGATCAGAATGGATTGTCGATGACCAACAAACTTGAGCTGAACGACAGTTGAAGGTGAAGTGGGGGTACCTACAAAATACTTTGATGTTAAAGTAAGATTCAGAGCATAATGTAATTAATAAAAGTGTGGAGAATAATGTATTTGATCTTCTAGTGAAAGAGGGTATTTATAGCCAATGGCGTTGGGCCAATACCTTCGCTATGGGTTGAGGATCCAGGCCCACAACGAACGACTGTCAGTACTTACATGTGTGAAGTGGAGCAACGCGTGTCCACGGTCCTGGTTCAATTGTCTCGTTCATAGAATGAGCCTTCTTTCTTCCTACCTTTAGCATTACCATTCTCTCATCGATTACTGCTTCGAATAGTGGATGACCAGTTCTTCATGGAGAGCAAGATGTCCCGTAATAATCGAAGGGCAGTTGGTCACGTGCTCATGGAGGGGTATGTGAAAGTGTTCCCCAACGGCTATGAGATGGACGATATTGTTGGGTCTTCTCTAAGAGAGCGTCATACTGGGCCACGCCCCTTAGTAGGTCAAATGCGGGTCCAGTCTAGAACAAGAGCCCCCCAAGTCGTTGCTCCTAAGTAGGAGTTATGACTTATAGGGCAACTCCCCGCGTCGAGGAAGTAGTGATTTGGAGGAAGCTCGCGCGTCGAGAAGGGGATGAACACTCTGTCTTCGTCGGGCACCCGCGGGGGCGTGTTTATTTGCAACTTCTCATTTGGTTCCCTAACAGGGGGTACGCGAGGTATCGTCCAACATAAGGTGTGAAGACGCTATCTGTAACACCCCTTCTAAATACCCCAATTAAAGGTAAAGATAAAAATCAGAGAAATAAAATTGCACGGAAGGGATGCCACAACACACATCACATTCCAAAGTTTTTAAGGAAAACGGACAGGGTATGTTTGAAAGTATAAGCATTCCAACACAAAACAAACATACAATAAATATTTACTTCATTCTCTCGTGCAAACGCAACGGAGTTTTATAATTTCACATCATCTCCATTTATGGAGGAATCAAAACATAATTCAAGGCATCAAGCCATCATAATTCACATAAGCATATGTTATCAAGTCTCACATCTACAAAACACCATATACACGAATAAGGATTATATACATCATAATCCAAATACAACATAATCGAGTTCGACGCTAAATAAATCCCCCCCCATGTGTTACTACCAGAGCATCGACTCGACTCTAATCAAAATAAAACATATTGCAATCCAATGCATCCGTTAACTAGCGCCTCGCGCTACCGTCCTCGGTACCTGCACAATGCCATCAAAAGCATTGGCCAACAAAAGGGTAAGAATTCCAATAATCATATAACATGTAATTTTAAGTAAATGAAATGGCAATAAATAAAGCAATACATAATGATCATGTTCATTTTATCACCTGTAGCATCCTTACTCAAGGAATCCATTTCCAACACATTAACCATGTAAACCGATTATCCGAATACTCACATCCTTGGCACATAACCATAATTCAAACAACAACAATATTGGCACATAATCAAACACATCAACACACATACATATCATACACAATTATACATGTGACTCACAACACGACTCAACGTATGCAAATGCGGTACCGACTCGTGGACCCAAGGTTCCACCACCTATGTTTCCATTCCGGATCAAGGTCACTACGTCTTTTCCCACAATAGGGTCACCGTCTAGATATTGTGGACCCAATGTTCCACCACTTATGTTTCCCTTCCGGATCAAGGTCACTACGTCTTTTCCCACAATAGGGTCACCGTCTAGATATTGTGGACCCAATGTTCCACCACCTATGTTTCCCTTCCGGATCAAGGTCACTACGTCTTTTCCCACAATAGGGTCACCGTCTAGATATTGTGGACCCAAAGTTCCACCGTCTCTGTTTCAAGACCACCATGCCATACAATGTACAATATAACCAATGCATGCAATTAAGACTCACAACAATCTTAACATACACATGTCATCAAATCCAACCAATGGAACATCAACTATTGTACATGCATGCATACATATAATTTATCAATCTCAACGTCAAGTAAAATGTATACAAACGAGATTACTTACTCAACCAAAACATAAACCATCAACTATCAACAATTCCAAATCGGAAAGTATATTTCAACATAAAGTCATTATCAATGAACCAGCATTATTCTCAATGTTCTCATCGCGATTGAGTCACCGGAATGTAACTCGAATGGTTAGATTCGGGATTAAACTCAACTTATTTCATTCGCACTAAAATCGGGTCGATTCTTAAAAGTCGAAATTTCGCAAGACAAACTTCACTACGTCAAGCTACACGTCGGATTACGCTAGCACGTCAATTTTCTTTGGATTCGGAGCAACTTGCTCCGTCGACGAATCTACCGAAATCGGAACACAAACGGGTTCTAAAGGAAGTGCGAAAATTAGAATTTTGGAGGCTACAGACGCATCAACACGGGCACCCGTGTGCTGCAACACGGCCCGTGTTGAGAGGCCACCAGAACGAGCCAAGAAAATGCCAAGTTAGAACAGCAACACGGGCACCCGTGTGCTGCAACACGGCCCGTGTTGTAAAGCCTGCGTGAAAACTCCACTCTTTTGAGTTTTTCTCATTCAACTACCATGGTTTTCTTTCCCATTTCAATACTCTTAATTTCTATAAGTTAGCACCTAATACACCCACAAACCATACTCCTAATCCAACTTTTCTAAACCATTCTAACAATCAACCAACAAAACCCTAAAAAATCAACTATCAATTTTACCCCTAAATCCAAAATATATCATACAAAACCTAACAATATGAGATGGAGAATCAAACCCCTTACCTTGGTGTGGGTTTTCTTGAAACAAGGTGATGGAGATGTTGCAACTCCAAGCCTAGCTCTCTTTCTCCTCTTCTCCTCTTTTCTTTCTTCTTTCTCCTCTTTTCTTTCTTCTCTTACTAACTCTCCTTTTCTATTTTATAAAACTCCCCTTCTACTACTAACTTTCCTCCCTCTATCTTTCTAAAATTGTAATTTGGCCCCAACAATTATTTAATTCAAATTATAATATATAACCCTATTAAACAATATTACATTAAATAATATTTATTCTATATAAACCTAATCATGCCAATTAATCAAACAAAGTCAAATATTACTACACACCAAATTAATATTACTCAAAATAGTATTTTATCATTATGAATATTTTTATTTCAAATAACCGAATTAACATTTAATCAAAAACGGGGTGTTACACTATCGAGGAAGGTTGGTGTTTGTGTTCAACTCTGGGAAGTTTGAGCTAAGCATCACGGGGAAGCGCCTGATAGAAGAAAAATGGAGAGTTCGTCACACGAATTTGGCTCAGGGATAGGTAATCGCGGGGTTGTGTCAGCGCAGTTAGCCCGGCATAAAGCGTGAAGAGAATGTGGAGGAAGTGTGGTGCTTGCACTCGACTTCAAGAAGTGAAAGCTGAGTTACAGAGAAGTGCCCGATAGAAAGAATCTGAAGAGTTGTTGTGTGGACTTGAGTGTGGGAATATGCAACAACGTTTTTGGGAGAACAAATGTCAACCCTTTCGATTGCCACGCGTAACAGATTCAATGCGTCACTCCATTAATAGCCTAGGCTCTAGGTAATGATGTCTCTCTGTGTTTCCATGTATTATGGGTTTGGCTATAAAAGAGTGAGAGGAGACTCATTCGAGACTTTACCATTTCATTCTCCTCTTATTGCCTTCATGTTTGCTGCTCTCCTCACTCACTTTCTTTGGTAAGTGTTTTATCCTTGTGCTAGTTTTTTTATTTCCTTTGTGAATCTTTTATGAACGCATGAGCTTACCGGCAAACTCCATAAAGTTTATGGCCAGTGTATGAATTTTCCGGTGAAACTCGTGGGTTTTCTGATGAAGTTCATGGTTTCTTGATGAACTCATGAATTTCTGGATGAGCTTCATGAATTTCTTGATGAACTTCATGAATTTCTTGATGAACTTCATGATTTTCTTAATGAAGTTCATGAATTTTTTTATGAACTTCATGAATTTCTTGATGAAGCTTGATGGGGAGGTTTCTCCTCAGAGGGGGAAAGGACTCACGCTTGGTGTTCGTCGAGCGGATCCTTGCTCTCATCATTGAACCTTGTGTCAGATGAGTGTTCTCGGTACTCTCACGGTCGTTGATGAGGGCCATGATTGGGGATGCATCCTAGATCACTTCCTTGCCCTTTCACTTGATTAGTAGTGGAAGGGTGGATTTGAGTTATCGTTGAATTCACTATTTTCCCCTTCTTTTCAAATAAGATGGCCTAAAATGATAAAGTTGACCCCCTCCTATCCAGG